ATTCTATATATGACTTAGATCATGTATTTTGGAAAAGACTGCTGATACAGTTTGGCTCTGTGTCTATACCCAAATCTTGTGTCAAATTGTAATCGCCAGTGTTGGAGGAGGGGCCTGGTGGGAGGTGACTGAATCATGGAGGTAGACTTCCCCCTTGCTGTTCTCATGATAGTGAATGAGTTCTCATGAGATCTGGTTGTTTGAAAGTGTGCAGCACCTCCCCTTTTGCTCTCTTTCCTGTCGGCATGTAAATATGTGGCTGTTTGCCCTTCACTCTCCCTATAAGTTTCCTGAGGCCTACAGAGAGGCAGAAGCCTATACAGCCCGCAGAACCATGAGCCAATCAAACCTCTTTATAAATTACTCAGTCTCAGGTATGTCTTTATAGCAGAGCAAGTACAGACTAATACAACTGCCTTTCTGGAAAAATGTTACTAGTTAAACTAGAAATAAATCACTACAAAGCTGTTGCACAGTTTATCAAAATCTTTAATTATTTTAACAGAGCCTACTCAGTGTAAGACATGTAATAGGAAGTTAAAAGAAAAATGGCTCAAAAGCTTAAAATAATTTTTATAGGGGAAAAAAAATAGCTTAAAAGAACCAAATACCTTGTATTAGGGATTCGATTACTTCTCTTCTTTCTTGTAATGAACCTTTCTGTGAGATTCTAGTCACTCAGTATTTAACCATACATCCAAAGTACCCAGTGCTAGCTTACACAAGCTCCATGCCCTCTCTCATACTGAAATATTCCACGGTCACTGTGAATCTCCAAAGAATAAATTTTTAAGAAAGCATTGCAACACTTGCTTACCTTGACCACATGCTTACCTTGACCACATGCATATCAACCCCATACATTTCTAGCCATTTGGCTTTATTCAGATAATTGGTTTCAGCCTGTGCTGGTGTTTGACCTCTGAAATTTAAAACAATGATTTTTAAAATAACAATAAACATAAAATAAATTCTATACCAAGGATACAAATAGAAGAAAATGAATATGAAATAACTATTATGATTTTTAAAGAAAGTATAGTCAAATGCCAGATACCTGTATTCCTTCCATTTTTCAAAAATTGCCAGTTCCATCTCTTCAGTCTGAATAGGCACAAACCTGAACTCAGAGACAAGTTCAGGACTATGCTCAGCAAGATCATAGTCACCAAGTTCAGCTATAAAGAGAAGTTTCAAAAAGTTATAGGTATTTCCTGCTAAATTCTTCAAAAACCATTTCATTAATGAAAATTGCTAAGATTAGAAAGATTCTTTCCTAGGAATTTCTTACAGAAATTCATAATACTCAGACAATTCTCCACAAGTGAATCCAGCATATCAGTCATACACATATATCTCATGTTTGTTGTTGGTAGGGTTTTTTTAATTACACATCTTTCTCTTAATGTATTCACACCTCAGTGCTTAGCCTTTGAAAGCTGCTTTCTAGACTTCGTAAAGAAATACCTCTGACCTTATAGTGAATAAATGAAAACATTTAGCAATCATTAAAAGACAATTAACTGGCAACTATTAAGAATATTACTAATGTCGGGTATGGTGATTTATGCTTAGAGTCACAGTACTTTTGGGGATTGAAGTGGGAAGATCATTTGAGACCAGCGTAGGCAACATAGGAAGACCTTGTCTTTGGGGGAAAAGAAAAAAAAAAAGAATAGTACTGATATACACTGAATATGACACAATATATCAATGTAAAATATAGTCCCTGTCTTCCAAAATTTTAAAATTATTAATCCTAAAAAAGTAGCTGAAAGGAACGAAAAAAACTGGTGGGAGGAAGCAGCAGGAAAAAAACAACAATGCACAAACATGTATGTACTCATCTGTGGTTATTTCTGAACAAAATGTGGGCTTGGAGAGAAAGGACTGCTAAACTATATGGCTTCAGCAACAATTTACTCATACATAACTGCATTTCTTTTAAGGAAAAAGTTAGCCGAAGGCCCCATCATAACATTTACTGACTTAACAGGTAGACTATGACTTTTCAACACTTTAGGTGGGAAGGGAGGAATTACATTAAAGAGAAGAAAAAGAAGGCAATGTTCTAAAACAAGTAAGAGTCAGAGTTGGACACTGACAGAAGTTTATACAAAAACAGTGTTGTTTCTTTCCTTGCACATAATTAGAATCTTCTGAAATTCTTTAACTAAAAACACACAGAAAAGGATTATACTTGAGTCTTAACAGTAAACATAAGAACCGCTTACCTTGCAGATTATAAGCTGCCAATTGCACTGCTGTATCAAAGGGACATTCTAATCTAAGGCCAAAACACAAGTTTGTTAGAAAAGTCAATTTCATAACCTTCGTTTTTAAGATAAATGAAAATAATACATGCTTTATGTTGATCATTTCTTTTTCACAACTATAAACTTATTTTTTAAATAATTTTTCAACCACCCAAGGAAATGTGCATTGATCCTTAAATAACTGATACTCACTTTCCGCTGAGAATATCTTGTTTTAACTGAAGAACAAATAAATACCTAAGAAAAATGAAAGGCACAAATTTAACCCAACAGCTCAGTCTACTGTGATAAAAAAATCTTACCCTTCTAATTTAAGTATTATTTTATTAAAAATTATGTGTATTAATATATAAATGATGTATATAGTTTGTGGATACATAAAATAATTGAATACATTTATATAATTTTTAAGGATCAAGTCAGGATGCATGGGATATCCATCACCTTAAATATATGTCTCTTCTTTATGCCAGAAATATTTGAATTATTTTCTTCCAGCTATTCTGAAATGTAAAATACATAATTGTAAACTATAGTCACCCTACTGATCTAACACTAGATCTTAGAAGTATTCTTAATTATAGATTCAGTGCGGTGGCTCACACCTATAATCCTAGCACTTTGGGAGGCCGAGACAGGTGGATTACTTGAGGCCAGGAGTTCAAGACCAGCCTGGCCAACAGGGCAAAACCCCATCTCTACTAAAATACACAAATTAGCTGGGTGTGGTGGCAGGTGCCTGTAATCCCAGCTGCTCAGGAGGCTGAGGCAGGAGAATTGCTTGAACCTGGTGGGGGGCAGAGGTTGCAGTGAGCTGAGAACATGCCATTTCACTTCAGCCTGGGCAACAGAGCAAGACATCTACTTCTTATGTGATAAGACATCTACTTCTTATCCTTCTTATGAAGGATATAACTACAGATAATAGCTACAATCTCATTGTCAAGATGTTCTAGAGGAAACCCTTCTAAAGGAACTCAAAAGCTCAACTTTTTCATTTAGTAAATAGTATGTGTACATGGAGTCATGAATTTATGACAGAGACCATGAATAAATACAAAGGAGGCAGGATAAAATTAAAGTGTATATAACATAAGGTTTATTCAAACCAGAACTATTCAAACCAAAATCTAATGTTGTTCATTAATCAATGGCTTTTCAATGAGTAAAGAAAGTTGGGTGCCAATTTGAATAAACTCCCTGTGGCCAAAGATAGATTATTTTCAACATCAATAAATATAATATTGCAATGTATTGAAACATGTCAGTCCTGTTAAAATTTCTGAGTTGAGAGCGACAGTTAAAAAAAAAGAACCCTGTAATCCCAGCTACTCAGGAGGCTGGGGCAGGAGAATTGCCTGAACCCGGGAGGCGGAGGTTGCGGTGAGCCGAGATCGCGCCATTGCACTCCAGCCTGGGTAACAAGAGCAAAACTCTGTCTCAAA